TCCACTTTCAACTAAAGGCTAGGACTTGACCTTCCGTGCTGAAATGCAAGGGGAAGGGGCTAGCGGGCGGCATGGTGGTTCAGGCGCTGGACTCCCACATGCTGGGCCGTGGTTTGAGGCTTGGACCCGGAAGGCTTAAACTCACGTGCCCAAAATCTCAAGAGAATGGAGTAGCAGGGGCTGTGACGTCCGCCCCCGGCAGTGCTTTCTCGTGCTCTGTCTCCAGCGAGCACATGCCCTATAGCAGAAGTCTCTTAAGGAAAGTAATAGAAAAGAAGAAGAAAGAACTGTGGGGAGGGTGCACACGCGTGCATCTGCGTCTGCGTCCTGGACGGGGTGGGCGAGAGCCGGCCTTGCCTGTGTGGCCCGCCGGGGCAGCCGGGCTGGCTGAGACCGGCTGTGGCAGCGTCTCCCTGCAGTTTCCCTGCAGTGTTTTCATACCAAGCTATTAAACACTGTGCAGATCAAAGTCAGGCTTAACAGAACAACTCTTGGGACCAGTAGGTGGTGTGGTGGTTAAGGCACTAGACACTCCCATAGGGCTGACCATGGTTTGAATCCTGGACCCGGTGGCTTGCTTTCTCCCATTCCTGTTCTCTCTCTGTTTCTCTTTCTGGTCAAATTTTAAAAAAGACTGAAAGAAAGAATAAAAGAATAAATGAAGTTAAATAAGTAATCCCTTTATTTTTTCTTTTTGAATGGTTTTTTACTATAGGACGCATGTGCTCTCCAGAAAGACAGAGAGAAACAGAGACAGAAAGCAAGAAATCCCCCCCCGGGGGGATGGCCACGCTGTAATCCCTTCTCCTCCATTCTCTTCCTGGGATCTTAGGCATGTATGCACATGCGCCCGGCGTGAGTTTAAGCCACTGGGTCCGGGACTCAAACTGCGGTCGACTACATGGGAGTCCAGGGACGTAATCATGCCATCTGCTGGTCCCACCCAGTGTGCTTTTCAAGCCACCAGGGCCAGGATTTGGACTGGACAGTTGGACATGTGTAGTCTGTCTCCCTTAACCACTGAGTTACAGAGCCAGCTCTAAAGGCACAGATTTTAAAAACAGACAGAGCTTTTCCCTCTCTTCTGGGCAGACTTCACTGTACTCCTGGGGGCTCCTCTTGCTGTGCGTGACTTACAGGGTTTCCCGGCCCTCGAGGGGGAGGCCAGGCAGGTACTTCCCAGCAGCCTCTCTCCTGGGACCAGGCGGGGCAGCAGGTCTGGGGTGTCTGGACAGTGAACTGGGCTGGTTACAGAGGCACCGCAGCGGAGCCACGCGCTCGGGAGTGGGCGACTGGCAGGGGAACAGCTGCTTGGGGAAGGGCAGAGGCTCTCCATGGAAACGGGGCCAACATGTTGTGTCCCCCAGGGAGAAGGTCACACATCATGTGCAAACCGGACTGCGGCCGTGGCTCCAAGGATGGTGGTGAAGCCGGCAGAGATGGCCCAGTGAGGCCCTAACCCTCCCCTTCCCTTCTCACCCCCAGGGCTGGAGCTGACTGCCCTGTCCTCTCACAGTGCTGTCGGCCCTTCCCAGGGCTACGGTGTGCAGAACCGCAGCCCTTTCTTCCCTACTGGGTCTCCGGCCGCCTCCTCTCAGCCGTGCTGAGCTCCCTGGTGGAGCAAAAGCAGCTATGTTTGAAGTGACAGGAATCTCAGATTCTGGGGAGTTCCTCCCAGCAGCCACCTGGAGCTGTGTCCTGACAGTGCAGAGACAGGGGAGACTTCTGTTTATTTCAGCGGGCCTGCCCTTCTGACCTGTGCCAGGTTAAATGCAGGAGCCTGGCTGGGTTTTCCCCGAGGACAGGGCAGCACGGGAAGCCTCTCACTCTCTCCTTTTTTTTTTTTGAGAGATTTTTGCTGTAAGGGTGCATGCACTCAGCAGAGAGACAGAGAGCGAGGAATCAGCCCCCAGGTACGGCTCCGCTGCAGTTCCTTCTCCTCCACTCTCCTCTTGGGTTTCGAGCACGCATGCATCCTCGCCCAGCCGGAGTTTTGAGCTGCTGACTTGGGACTCAGACCGTGGTCAGCCACATGGGCGTCCAGCGCCTTCCCCACTGCATCACCGGGGCCCCTCCTGCTCTCGTCCCTCACTCTCCCACGTGGACTCCAGCACTTCGTGTTGCTCAGCGAAGTGACAGCTCACTGGTCTCTGGGGCAAATCTCTCATGCGATGATTTTTTATTTTTATTTTATTTATTCATTCATTTAATTTGACCAGAGAGAAGGAGAGACAGAGAGGGAAAGTGAGAAAGCAAACCACCAGGTCTGGGACCCGAGCTGTAGTCGGCCGTGTGGGCGTGCCCACTGCCTCCACCCCCATCCTGGTGTGCTCTTTGATGCCTGAAGAGGCTGGGTTGTGGGTCCTTGCTGGGGGGGGGTTCAGTGTGAGCCTTCCGCTCTGCAAAGCCCTGCTGCTGCTGGAGAGGCAGGCCCGAGAGTGCCTCCGCTGTCAGTCTCCTCAGCTCTTGGAGACAGCGTGCTTCCCCTCGGGCCTTGCCCCGGGGACCCCCAAGCTCACCTGTTTTACCCTGAGGGACTGCAGACCAGCTGTGACCGATCCTTGCCCTCTAGACAGTCTTGGGAACGGCCTCGCCAGAGGCCTGGTGGTGCTGGGGCCCTGCGAGGCAGGTGTCGGTTTTCTAGGTGTCCTTGGAAGGAGGTGTGGGGCCCGGGGCCCCGGCAGCAGGCAGTGAGGTAGCATGGTCCTAGGGCGGTGGGAGCACAGGTAGGTCTTGTGACCCCCAGTGCTGGTTCCCCGCTGCCGCAGTGAAGACCGATCCAGACGATGGAGACTGCTGGCCACAGTCCTGCCAGCTTGGGGAGCCCCTTGGGAGAAGCTCAGGACGGTTGGTCTGTGGGTGCCAGGAGTGAGGGGCGTGGGGCAGCCTCTCAGCATCACCCACACTCTGCACCCAGAGGTCTGAGGGGACTTTGGCTTCTGCCCTGGGGCTGGCGAGGACTCCCACTGAGTGTCCTGGGGCTATTGGCCTGCCCGCTCTTGGCTGGATTTGAGTATCCAGGCTTCCCACCAGAGCCCGGATGCCCCCTTGTTGTTCTCTTAGGGGCAGGGGTGGGGCAGCGAGCACCAGGGAGGTGCCCTGGGAGCAGGCGTGAGGGCCGGCGTGTGCTGTGCTGCTGCTTCGAAACCGCTGTTGGTCGAGGCTTCGTGGGCTCTGCCCCTACGCAGGACACGGAGGGTGCCTGTCCCTGTGGTGCTCAGCCTGGCTGGGTCTGGGCGAAGCTCGGGGAATGTCTGTCGTAGGCCTGGCTGGCGGTCAGGCCAGTCCCAGGGCTGAGCTTCAGAAACTCCTGTTGGAAACAGTTCTGCCTCCTCTGGGCCCCCAGCAATGACCTGCAGGCTGCATGCACACTGTAGAGCCCACTCTCAAGCCAGGTGGACTTCCTGGGGGAAGGGGCCACCAAGGGCAGTGTTCCCTAGGTTCCTGCTCCTTTCCCAGCCGGCTCTCCAGTATGGGAGGCGTGGGTAGCCACCTCCCTCATGTTGTGGCGGGGCAGCAGGTGTCCCGTGGTCAGAACCTGTGCTAGGGCGAGGGGACGCCTGCCATGGGTGGGGCACTGGACTTGAAAGTGCAGGCCCAGGACATCTGGGAGGGCTGGGGCAGGAAGCGGGTCCGACCAAGTGAGTGAGCCTTGGCCGGGACCCAGGTGGGGCGTGGGGCAGCTCCCTGGTGGCTCGGGTCTGGGGTGCTGGGAAGGCGTCCTGCTGCCCCGCAGATGAGCAGGTGGGGCCTGTGCATGGGATGTGGGTGGGAGGAAGAATGGGTCCAAGGTGGTGTGGCTGTTTGGTCTGATTACAGTTCAGGCCTGAAAAAAACAAAGTGCCCTCACCCTGGGAGCGCAGCGAGAGGCTTGCTGTGGCACTGGTTGCTGTGGTGACTGGTGCCCACATACATGGCCCTGGGCACTGCCAGCCTGCTGGGCACCCTGGGCCGTGTGTCCTCCTGCCCTGCTCACCTCTCCCTGGGGACAGCCTGTCCGTGCCTGGGCCTGCACCTCGTGTGTGGGGGACGTGCCCTGAGCGCTGGGCGTTGGTGGACCCGAGCCTCAATACAAGGAGCCCCTTCGAGCCCTGGCCTTGTGCTTGGCACAGACTCTAGGGCCGGCCCGAGTTCTCACCCTTGCCGTGGGGCACGCGCACTTGCCAGACAGAGCGAGGCAGAGGGAGAGAGAAAGCACCGCTCGGGGCCAGGCTGCAATCCCTTCCCTTCCTTTTGGGCATGCACACACTGATGGCGTGTCTGTCTGTCTGTTTTCATCAGGTTTTTGCCATAGGTCACATGCACTTGCCCGAGAGACAGAGAGGGAAAATGAGAAAGCAGCACTGGGGTGCCACACCGCAGCCTTCTCCATTCTCTCGGGACCTTGGGCACACACACGTGCCCAGCCCAGGTTTCACGCCGCTGTGGCCGGGATTTGAACCACAGTCTGCCATGTGGGAGTCCAGCACCTTAACCACTACACCACCTGCTGGCCCCTACATTTTGCTGAACGCGTGTGCTTGCATGTCCGAAATCTCGAGAGGAGAATGGAGAAGGGATTGCAGTGTGGCCATCCCCTTGGAGGGTGACTTCTCACTTTCAGTCTCTGTCTCTGGCGAGTGTATGTGCCCTATTTCAAAACTTCTCTCTTAAAAAAAAAAAAAAGAAAAAACGGGACCAGCAGTTAGCGTAATGGCTATGTTGCTGGACTCCCATGTAGTTGACTGCAGTTCGAGTCCCGGACCCGGTGGCTTAAAACCCACGCCGGGCGTGTGTGCGTGCATGTGCAAGATCCCAAGAGGAGAATGGAGGAGAAGGGATTGTGGCGTGGCCATCCCCTCTGGGGGGTGATTTCTCGCTTTCTGTCTCTGTCTCTCTCTGTCTGTCTGGCGAGCGCACGTGCCCTATAGTGGAAAAACCTCTCCACAAAAGAAAAAGAAACAGAAATAAGTCCTGCTGTGGACAGCCCCTGACACGGCTCCTGCCCTGCCTGTCCGCAGCCTGTGCACATCTGGCGTGGTGAGGCTGCACATCAACAGCTGGCTGGAAGTGAGCTTCTGCCTGCCCCACAAGATCCACTACGCGGCTTCGAGCCTGATCCCCCCTGAGGCCATCGAGCGGAGCCTGAAAGCCATCCGGTGAGTGTGGTCCCCATGTGCCCCTCCCGCCTCTGCCTGAAATTCACCCTGGAACTTGCCTGGACTTTGCCTCCAATTCTCTCCTCTTGCTGCCAGCCATCGATGGAGACGCACACGTCTCGAACCCAGTTCTGCCCAGGAGTGAGCAGCCCTGCTTCCCCGGGGCCCTCTGGCACTGCCTGGGCGCAGGAGCCCCTGCACAGCCCTGCTGGGCCTCGGCGGGCATCCTGGCCAGCCCCCTGGAGGTCGTGCTCCTGCCCTGAGGTCCTGGTCAGCCTCCTAAGTTAACTGGCTTCCTGCAGGGGAAGGCCTGAGCCCAGTCTCTGGTTCTCACCAAGTCCCCATTTCTTCAGATATGGTTTTGGTTTGTTTTACTTTTTCTTTTCTTTTTTTGGAGAGGTTTTTGCTGTAGGGTGAGTGTGCTTGCCAGAAAGAGAGAGACAGACAGAAATTGAGAAATCACCCCCCAGGGGGGATGGCCACACCACAATCCCTTCTCTTCCATTCTCTCAGGATCCGGGGCACGCATGCACACGCACCCAGAGTGAGTTTAAGCCACCGGATCCCGGACTTGAACTGCGGTTGAGTACATGGGAGTCCAGCGACACAGCCATTACGCCAACTGCTGGTCCCTCCTCAAATATGTTTTAATTTAACAACAACAACAAAAAGGACTAGCAGATGGCGTAATGGCTATCTCACTGGACCCTCATGTGGTCAACTATGGTTCAAGTCCTGGACCGGGTGGCTTAAAACTCTTGCTCGGTACGTGTGTGCATGTCAAGATTCCAAGCAGAGGATGGAGGAGAAGGGGTTGTGCGTCGCCACCCCAGCAGGTGCTTTCTCGCTCTCTGTCTCGCTGCCTCTCTCTGGCAAGCACCCGCCCTATCAATCTCCCAGAAAGAGGAGAGACCTGGCCCCTTGCTGAGCCAGCCCTGACCCCGACCCAGACCAACCCGACCCTGTCCCGACTTCCTTGCTCAGCGTGGTTTCTGTAGTCTATTCACAGTCTTGGAGGGGATTTTGCTTTTCCCATATTAGGCTGTTTCCTTGGGAAAGACTCCCCCTCTTCAGTCTGGGGCGGGCGTCTGCCAGGTAGGCGAGCTCAGCTTGGAGCCCGCTTCTTTTCTATGGTGACCGCATTTCCCCGGAGGGCATCAGTAACCCTGGCTGATTGGACAGACGCCCTGCCCAGGTCACTGTCCTGAGCCCTCTCAGCCCCCTGCACCCTTCACTGAGGCCCTGATGGCTCTGCCCACAGCCCCTACCATGCCCTGCTGCTGCTCAGCGATGAGAAGTCCCTGCTGAGCGAGCTCCCGGTTGACTGCTCCCCGGCCCTGGTGCGAGTAATCAAGACCACATCTGCCGTGAAGAACCTGCAGCAGCTGGCCCAGGACGCAGACCTGGCCTTACTGCAGGTACAGCTCTGGGGCCTGGGGTAGGCAGAGTGCTGGGGTGGCGGGAGCAAGCCACCTGCGGGGCTGCACACCCACTCCTCTGACCAGTGGTGAGCTGCTGCAGCTGGCCATAGGACAGGCGACTCCCGGGTAGCTCAGCGTTCTGGCACATGAGTCAGACCCAGCTGAGGACTGGCCGGGAGCAGGCCCCGTCTGAGTGCTGTCTCCAGGGAAGGGGCAGCTGCAGGAGGCAGCAGCCAGCCTCTCCCTGCGGAACATGACAGTCCTGAAAAGGTGGCATGGTGGCATCTGAAGGGAGCTCGGTCAGCGGCCTGCCCACACACAGAGCTGGGGCCTTGCCTGGGCGCCATATCCCACCCTCTGGTGCACCGGCCTGTTCTTCACACACGAAGCCAACTCCTTGCTGAGCAGCGTGCGTGTGCCTGCCCCGCTGAGGCTGCCTTTTCTGACTGTGGGGAGCCCCTCAGCCTTGTCTGTGGACCCAGTCAGGAGAGGAGAGGTTAGGAGGCCCGGGGCCAGGCCACTGGTCTGCAGCAGCCTCTGCTGACACCCCGCAGGGCCAGCTGTGCCTGCTGGTGGCATGGGAGTGGTTGGGGCTGGGGCTGCAGCCTGAGCGGGAGAGTGAGTTCTTTGGGTGGCCAAGACCCAGGGCCTAGAGGAGGCTGCACTGTGAGACCCAGGGTGGAGGTGTGCACCATGAGACCCGGGGCCTGGTGGAGGTGGGGCATGAGACAGGTGGCCCAGCCCTGGCCTGTGGGACAGTGGGGGCTTCTTTTGACCCTCTGCCTCGGCCTCTTAAGTTGGCCAGTTCAGGCCTGGCCCGGGTGTTATTTTTGTCTCCTGAAGTAGCATTTCGGACTTTTTCAGGAGAGGTCTGTCTGCCCCTTCATTCTCTGAGAGTACGACCACCAGACTCAGCCGGGCCCCTCTGGGACTGCTGGTTCTGCAGATGGCCATGTGGGGATTCATTTTTGACATGTTGGAGGGAGCATGTGCAAGAGACGCAGACGGCCAGTGCGGCCCGGTCTCGCTGCAGCCCTCTCTCCTCCATTCCGTCAGCATTTTGGGCACCCACGCACCCGCCTGATGTATTTCTCAAGCCACTGGGGCCGGGATTTGAACTGCAGTTGGCCACGTGGGATCTGGCTCTCTGTGCTATGCTGTGGGCCGGCCCCAGATGGATTATCTTCAAATAACAGAATTAGGATCGCACAGCCATTACCTGTGATCCGCTGGGCACTGGCCCCCCAGCCAGCCATGTGCTGACCCCCAGGACCTGAGTTAGACCTCACGTGAGGCTTTGCAGGCGTTGCTCAGGATGCTGAGGTGGCACGAGTGTCCTGGTGGCCCCAAGTGTAACGAGCAGGTGGAGGCTCGGCACTGAGGAGGCGGCGGCAGGGCCCCAGGGGAGCACAGCCTGCCCACCCAGGTGCTAGCACGGGGACAGTCTGGGCCCGCGGCCTCGCCAGGGGTGCTCAGGCCTGTGAGGAGTGTCCTGGGGCACGAGACCTGGGAGTGGGGACAGGCCGAGTGGTGGCAGACAGGAAGAAGAGTGGGCATGTCTGCCTCAGACGAGTGTCGGTGACACTCGGGATGAGAGAAGAGGGGACAGTGGGACGGAAATCCCGGGCCTGAGCTGATGCCAACAACCGTGGGGCCCCTTTGCTGAGGAGAGACGTCCCCAGCACAGCAGGCTGTGGGACGATGCAGTCAGAGCTCCGAGTGCCGGGCGCCACCTCTGTGGTGCACCGAGACCTTAGACCTGGCTCCCTCGTGACGCTGGGTCCTGAGGCTCCCCAGAAAGGGTCGTGGTACTTTGGTCTGCCCGTCCTGGTGTCCGGGGGCCGAGCAGGGGGATGTGGGGATGGTGGGCCATTGGGCATGTAGGGAGGCAAGCCGACTGCATAGCCACTGTCACCAGCGGTGGGCGCCGTGCTGGGGTCCTGGTGGGCATGAAGGGACATCCAGCCCAGCTGCCTGCCCAGCCAGCCAACCCTGTGCTCCCCGCCATCCCCACCCTGACATCTCTGGCCTGCCCCCTGTGCCGCCATTCCTTGGTGGGAGTCAAGACAGCTCGTGGCCCTGTTGGGACCGTGGTACCAGCAGCACGGGGAGAGTGGCAGAGGCGAGCACAGACTATGCTGCGTGGGGCCTGCAGGTGGCGTGGAGGTTAAGGCGGCTGGATCCCACAGGGGTCATTGCATGGTTCCAGTCCCAGGCCTGGCGTCTTCAGATACATTGGACATGTGTGTATGTGGATACCCAAGATGCTGAGAGGAGAGAAGGGATGGTGGCCATTCCCACGGGGGGTGATTTCTTACTCTCTCTCTCTCCAGGGAGCATAAATGCTTCATAGCAAAAACTAAAAAACGGGAAGAAAGTGTAGTCTGCCACTGACCTCGGCAGCCTGGGGCAGGCAGGGACACCACTGCTCCAGTTGGACGGGGCTGCAGCCCCAGTGTGTGCTGCGAGAGCCTCGGGCAGCTCCCAGCAGGGAGGCCACGGCCACCGGAGCTGAGAGCCTCCCAGGATGGCCCAGCGTCCCTCCACCCGCAGGTGTTCCAGCTGGCGGCTCACCTGGTGTACTGGGGCAAGGCCATCATCATCTACCCGCTGTGTGAGAGCAACGTCTACATGCTGTCCCCGCACGCCAGCGTGTGCCTGTGAGTCGCCCTGGTCGGCCAGGCAGCCCTGAGGCCAGCTGTGCCTTCGCCGAATGTCCGGCCTCCGGCGTGCCCAGGTCCTGCTCTGGCCTAGCTGGGCATGGCGTCTTCCCAGCCCCACCCTGAGCAGGGGCCACCTCACCATGGCTGGCTCCCCCAAACCTCCCTGCGTTGTGCAGCAGACATGGAGCTGGGGCATGTGGGGGGTCCTGACTCCGTGCCTCCTCCAGGACCTGCAGCCAGGCACCCGCCCAGGGGAGCGCAGAACCGCCTGGTGCCCCTCAAGGGAGTGGCCAGGCTCCGTCCCCAGCAGGCCTGCACGGCTTTGCTGCTCATTCCACGCCCCGCCACCTTCGCCGCACCATCCACCGCCCACCAGCCCCGGGCAGTGGCGAGCCTGACACCCGCCTGTCCGCAGGTACTCTCCGCTGGCCGAGCAGTTCTCCTGCCAGTTCCCCTCCCACGACCTGCCGTCTGTCCTTGCCAAGTTCTCCTTGCCTGTGTCCTTGTCAGAATTTAGGAGCCCCCTGGCGCCCCCTGTGCAGGAGGTGAGTGGCAGGAGTCAGGCATTCCCTCGCTGCCCATCAGCCTGACCAAGGCCTCTCAGCATGCCTCCCCTTCACCTGGGTCTTACGGCTTGCTCTGCAGTGACACATGGCCCAAAGCCACTGCCAGGCTCCTTGTGGACTCAGGCAGGTGTCCCTACCCAGGGCCCTCACAGTGGACCAGTCTTAGGGTTAAAACCAAGTGAAGCCTGGCAGAAGCCATGCTACACCCCTTCCTGGTCTGGGGAGTCTCCCAGCCCTTTCCTCCCTGGCCATGGCTCAGGTGGCCACAAGGCTGTGGGTATGAGTGTTTGGGCCACTGGCTCTAGGATGACCAGGGAGGACCAGTCTGCAGTGGGCCTGGGTCAGGGTAAGCAGTGGGACTGAGTGTGGGGGGCACCGAGGTCCCAGGGGCTGTGAGCTTTTACAAGGTGGCAACAGGAGCCTCCCTCCTGTCCTTCCCCAGCCAAGTGCCTGGAGCTCTGGGCAGGGACCCAGGGCAGGGCCAGGTAGGACAGGTGTTGGAGAGGAAGGCAAAGGCAGGCTGAGCTTTCTCAAGGCTTTGTCTCCAGACACAGTAAAGTGTCTGTTTTAAAATGTGCCAGGTCTGTCAAGCAGAACCAGTCCTTCAAATAGAACCCTTTTTTCCCTCAAATTATGAATGAGAAAAGATCCTGGTTTTCAGCTCATTAAGAGGCTGCATCAGGGCAAGCCCAGCAGGGATAGGCTGGCTGGATCCAGCAGCAGGGCCCCTGGGCCAGAGGGGAGGGCGGGCAGGTGCTGCCCCTCCTACACTGGTGTGGCCCAGCTCGGCTCTGGCTCTGGCCCTCGCCTTCCCTGTAGGGCCAGGGCCCTTCCCACCTAGGGTTAGCACCTGGGGCCCTGGCCCTGGGAGCCGTGAGCAGGCGAGCTCACACTGCTGCCCCACAGACCCAGCTGGTCCAGATGGTGCTGTGGATGCTGCAGCATCGGCTCCTCGTGCAGCTGCACACCTACGTGTGCCTCATGGCCGCCCCGAGCGAGGACGATGAGGCCCCGGCCCCTGCCCGGGTGGGAGGCCGCAGCCTCAGCACACCCAACGCCCTCAGCTTTGGCTCCCCAAGTAAGACCCTGGGGCCCCCGTGTGGCAGTAGGGACGCCCGCACACCTGCCCTGCCCCTGCACCACCGTGGCTCTGAGGAGAGGGTTCCGCCTTCTGGGCTCTTCAGCAACCACTTGGTGGTCTGAGGAGCAGCCCCCAGCCCGCCCTGGATGGAGGGTTTCATCCATCCAGGAGGGCAGTCGGAACTGTGCTCAAGGCCTCCGAGGGGACAGCAGCTGCCACTGTTGCCCCGTGTGCCCCAGGTCCCAGCTGAGGGAAGACCAGGGTCTGAGAGGCTTTGGGTGGCCGCCTCCTGCAGAGGACTGGCCTCGGGTACTGCCCTGGGCTGAGGGGCTCCCAGCCCACCCTGTAGACTGGCAGGGGGTGCCCCTTGTGTTCCAGGACAGCTGCACGGGGAGGGCCCACACAGGGGAGCAGGGAGCGGGGTGAGTTGGGATGCCCCTCGCTGCCTCAGCCCCCTGCAGCCCTGCCTAGTTTGCAACCACCCAAGGGCGTCTGACCGGTGCCCCCAGCCAGCAGCGACGATATGACCCTGACCAGCCCCAGTGTGGACAACTCCAGCGCAGAGCTGCTCCCCAGTGGGGACTCGCCTCTGAGCAGGAGGGTGACGGAGAGCCTCCTGGCCAGCCTGTCAGAGCACGAGCGGGCCGCCATCCTCAGCGTGCCTGCAGCCCAGAACCCAGAGGACCTCCGCATGTTTGCCAGGTACCTGGGGGCTGGCCAGACCCCGAGCGGGGATGCACCTGGCAGTTGTGCCAAGTGGGAGGGTCAGGTGTCCCCAGTGGAGCCTGGAGTGGGGAGGGCAGCCCAAGGCCTGGCCGACCTGTTCCTGGGGCCCCCAGTACTGCTGGTGTTCCTTGTGAGGCACGTTCTCACAGCCTGGCAGGGCTCTCTGTAGGTCTCTCCCCTCCCCTCCCCTGGCCTGGGCACTGTGGTTCCTGGAGGAGCCTGAGGGTGCTGAGGCCTGGCCCGTCCTGTTAAGAGCCATTCTCAGCCCTGCCACGCAGCCAGTCCAGGCTGCCCTGCACCCGCTGCAGAAACCCCTTAGCAGCCAGTCTGGCCAGAGCCCCTGGACGCTGCTGCAGCAGCACACCAGACAGGACCCCCTCACCAGGCTGCCTGCGGAGGGGCCGTGGGCAGCTGCTCTGCTCCGCACGAGGCTGGGACAGGTCTTGGGCGCGGGCTCAGGCGGGCCCCCCTGCCCCAGGCTCCTGCACTACTTCCGCGGCCGCCACCACCTGGAGGAGGTCATGTACAGCGAGAACACGCGGCGCTCCCAGCTACTCGCACTCCTGGACAAGTTCCGCAGCGTGCTGGTGGTGACCACCCACGAGGACCCTGTCATCGCCGTCTTCCAGGCCCTGCTGACATGAGCCGGGCACAGGCTGGGGAGGCTGCGGGACACGGTGGCACCAGC